TCAGATTATTCCTTAATCGCAGTCAATCCCATTGAAGCACTCTATGCTACATCGATATATGGGATACTCAACAATCAGCAAAACATATCTTTCACGGTGAATAGCTCTAAGGAGTAGGTGACAAAGTGTTGGTGATACTATGGCCTTGAGGTTTATAGGATAGTCAATTCATGCATTCTTCCTGGGTCGTTTAATTAGGAGCAGATACGAAGCAGCTTGAGAATATCAAAGCACTGTCTTGTACATCGCTTAGGCGGGTGTGGTGCAGGAGGAACGAAATCGCCGCGTCGCGGCGGGAGAGACGCCGCGCGCGAAAGAATGTAGCACAATGCAGCAGCAAGTATGAAATTCAGGAACAAAATAAATAGCAGTAGAATCATTAAGTAATAAATGGATAGCGATTGAGCTGTATTAGCTAGAACTGCTATATCGAGGGAATTGGTACGCGACGTCGCGTGCGGCCGATCGATTACACAAAACCGTTCCTACTGCCCGTCTCCCCGCTCAGGCAAAGCTGCTGCTGTTGTGAATGGTAGTAGAATGCGGGGCACATCCTAAACTTGGACTGGATTTTTATGTTCTACATTTTGGCTCATATTCCACCCGTAAAAATGTATGAAAATGGGCGCTTCTAAATAGTTAGGGGAATAACTTTTGGTGTACGATCGAGTTTACCATATAGTTTTTCTAAGTCTAGTTATTTTTTGCCGACCGATTTTTTTCACAGAGGTTTTCAGGCAACTGCATGGAGTGTTATTTCCGGCGTTGGTGAATCATCGCTGAAGGTGTCGGCAAGATGTTGGTACCGTCGTATGCAAGCATCATTTGGCTAAAGGCCGTAAAAACGCTGATTCATTGTCATCCCATAGAAAAATGTCTCCTCAAGACATGAAGCACCACGGTTTTACGGAAGAGGGACGATGAAAAGAAAAAGCAGCTGAAGCAGAAAAATTCCCCGAAGGTAAGGGTTAGCATTTTGGCAGTACTATTCAATAAGTGTGAGATTTATGTAGGCCACTTGAGTTCTTTGCTTGGAATTGGTAAGCATTCTTCAACTCGCCACACTTTCGATTTCTGTTTGAAACTGTGTGAACCTTCTGAGTTGTCCATAACCCAAATTGCCCAGGCCAAGTTGAAATCCTACTTTGGTGAGTCTTAACCCTCTCAAATGGCAACATTGGCACGCTTGAGTGCCTCAAAGCAGACAAAGCGCCTCGATTTGCGGTGAAAGGGTAGACGGGTTGGTGAGAGAAGCGTAATGATCCGTTAAGGTGATTGTGACAGCTCGAAACGTCATCAACAGGACTTTGAGAAATTTTTTTTTCGGGAAAGTGCATTCCAAGTAAAGGAAGAAAGGGGTCTGATCGGGTGAATACCTTCAGATCAAAACGTTGCTTTGGCCTAATTTTACGAATTTTTTTTACGGTTACGACATGCGGAAAAGTTGATTGAATTTCAGAAGAATGATGATTAGCGTTATTTTCAAAGCTAGTGAGCCTCCCATAGTGGATACGTTGAGTATTTTCCAGGGAGTAACGGCTTCTATCCACTTCCATAACCTAGGAGTTTGATAACTGGTTATAAGCAAATTTTGAGTGTTGTGAGATGATTGGTGAGCTCGATCATGGATAACACCTTCACCGCATTTTTGATATCCCACATTCTTGCGAATTGTTGAGGAAGTTAGGTTTGGTCTTCATCATTGACTATTACCCCGTCCGACAGGATAGCAAACAAAGAACAAAACAACAAACAAAAATCAACAACAATAACAAAACTCTTGCAACTCTCACAACATTTCCGATCAACTTGCTACACAGTGAGGTTCAAGTATGGAAGCCTGCTGCAAATAAATTTAATTTCAATTCTACGGAAACTCAAAGTTTTCGCTTCTTCCCAAACATAAGATCTACTTGCGCTCCAACTTGTTTTCCAACTACTGCGATACTTTAGGCCTGGGTGTTGTTCAATTGGGTACTGGCTGAGAGCTCAATTCAAACCGCCAACACTTCTTGGCTACCTACTCTGCTTCTCTTGATTGTTCACAATTTTTTACTTTCAGGTGTTCTGAGTTGTCAATGGTGGCAATACTCACAACGCGATGGTGCTCAGTTGATACATGAATTTAAAATTCATGTCGTGCGTATGATATTATGCTACTTATGGTTGATCCGTGACTTTGCGACCGGTTCGATGACGGAAGCATTCCCACTGTTGATATGCTCGAAGAGTCCAGCTCAATGCTATCGCTACTTTCTGATACTCTTTCATCGTGGTAATACTCCCTTCCAATATCACAAAAAACTTTTTTATTTTTTCATGGTTACGTCATGAAAAGTATATTGACGTAAGCTCAACTAGTAAACAGTGAGACATCATTCTGTTTGGGTGAATGTCGAGGCTAGAGAGTGTTCTTTAGATAGGTCCACGAGTCCCTGTCACTACTCATGAGAGATTAGAAAGGCCGCGATTTGTTTCTCATCTACATAAGGACTGGTGGGCAGCGTAGTGCTTGTTATCCATAAATGAGTTAAAAGCCAAGCCAGGTAAAATAGCTGATAAGTTTGGGTACCATTAGTTAGCTAATCTGTGTACTTATGTACATATTTGTCTTTGATTTTTATGTGTTATCAACTATTTTCATAAACGGGCCTATGAAGTAATTAAACTTTCATTATTCTTATAAGTTCAATAATTATTTTTATTCAATCGATGTTATACTGTTCGATATTGTGACTGATTATGTTTTTATCGAATTCTCTGTCCTATTATGGTTCAATGACGACAAACAGGTACAGAAACGAAAATTCAGTCCGGCACTCGGCTCTTACAGTAATCCGACACAAGTTAAACGCAAATTTCCCTCACATATACGACGCGTCGAAAAGGGGCCTTAGGCAAGGACACGGGGGTGGGTGGTGGTCAAGTTAGGGGGTTACTGTAAGAGCCGAGTGCCGGACTGAATTTTCGTTTCCGTCAAACAGATAAATAATTAATGAATAAGTAGCGAAGTAAATGAATCAATTCCATAATATGCCGTTTTGCGGATCAACGGAAGACGTTCTAGAGATAGCGGGAGAGAGAATGTTCTTCGATATGGTGCAATTCGGCAAAGACACTAGGCGTTCGCCCTGTTAGCTTAGCTCAATCAGTTCTATCCCAATAAAAATCTTTCCTTCTGATTTTCCTTCAATGTAACTATTCCTCCTTGAATGAATGCTCTCTCACACAGAGAGCTTTGGGCGAATCTCTAACGTTTCAGGTGGCAAACTTCTGCTTCGGGTAAAGCCACAATCCGAGAATGGGACTCAAGAAGGATCTCCTACTTGTGCTCACTATCGAATCTGTTGTATTGGGAGTCGTCCTCGGCTTCGTTATACGGCCGTTCAATCCAAGGTGGTTTTACTGAATTTCTAACAAATGTTACCTTGTACCATTTGTCGCGGCCCATAGGATTTGAACAAAAAACAGATGTTGGAATCTTATTTATAATAATGCGCTTCCGAACTATAGGAAAGTGCAATATACCCTGAAAATGTTCGAGAGCAGTGGGAGATGCAGTTATCTGACGAATACTTTGACAATATTCTCTCGAGATGATGCATTTTCTTGAAAGTTTGTCGAAGAAATCCAGTGAAGAGCATACCGTGAACTTGGCCTTCGAAATATGAGAGAACCGTCGGAACTTTGACCGTTACAGGTGTGCCGTGGGGAGCGGGATAAAGCATTTTTTGTTGGAGAACGATTTAGAATTTTCAATGGGGCTTTCGGATTACCTTTGGAATGATGTACAAGTTCCGATCTTTCTTGTTCTTTATAGATAGCCTAAGCGAGTGATACTATATATGTGAGAAGACGATTGCCCGTCAAGGCCGTTCATATCGTTTTCCTTTGGTGAATCCTGTTAATCAGATCTGATATGGATTCCTAAAAACAGTTATCGTAACGGAGTTTGCAGAAAATACCTGCAATGCATCGCTCATTGAAGGCTTGTTCAAAATATCAAAAGAGATAACTCAAGGCAGAATAAAATTTTCAGAGCAGTTCGTTCATTTTGGAGTGCGCCATACACTCGACTTTCGTTATTATCTTTGAACGCGTATTTTACATTTGCAGTGGTCGCGTATTGATCAGTTAGAGCCTTTGTCCTTTTTCATTCCATTACCTATCTTTGAACAAAAGGAAGAATGAACGGAAAATTTGGTGAAAACCAGCAATTCAATCCTTAAACATATACTCGTGCACTAGATGAAAGCAAGCCTCCTCGGAAACCTTTGAAGATCCTCAATTCGAGTATTGGGAAGAATCACTCTGTGGGGGAACTCTCGCAGGGTATTCCTTTCCGTTTTGAATCAGCATTACGGTACGGTACGCACCCTCACAGAAGGGTTCCCCGAGAACGGACAGTTCAAGGGCTCCACCAATTAGGAAGGCTCAATGATCTCAAAAGTGCCGCCTATTCATAAAGCCTGCTCCTGCTTCGAAGCATACTTTCGTTCGACCACTTAGGTCTATTTTTTTCAGTTGAGAGGTTTTTTCGGTTGAAAGGTGAAAGGGCTGTGTGTTCTTGCGGCTAATTTGCTAATTAAATTTCCAGCAATGATACCATCAGCCTTATTGGTTTTCCTGGCGAGATTTTCATGCAAATCGTCGAGATGATGATTTTACCGCTTATCATTTCTTCTGTCATATCAGGTATATTGTAGAACATCACAGTTGCTTTCAGTTGCCGTTCTCTTTTAAGTTTCCATATATCAGTTATTAACTACAATCTTTCGGATCGGAAATAAGTTTAGTCACGATGCTTAAATAAATGAATTTGCAGCTTTGGCCCAAGTTCGAGCTCGGGACGCAAGACAAATAGGCATCGTTACGGTCATCTATTACATGACCACCACCTTCCTGTCAACGTTTGTGAGTAATCTTGAAGCTCAGGTTTTTTTTCTAACGAATCCAACGATTTGGTACTGGTGGGGGCAGGATTAAGAATGACACCGACGGGCTTAATGACAGCTTCTCATTGGACAACTTGAACTTGGACTTGACAACTTATCAATGAATGATTTTTTCATCGATAAGTAAGGCATTCTGAAAACATAAGTGCAGGTTGCAGTCCCTTCGGAGCTGTATTCTTTCGGTTACAGTTCAACAGAGTTCATTTAGACAGGAATAATCCTTGTCTCGTCGATTCATCCTGGAGACCCGTCATTGATACATTCGTTGGGTGAAGGGACTCTCGAAAACACGGCTCTATCGACGCTTGACACCTTCCTCGATCAAATCAGGTTTGTAATTTCTTCTAAGAATTCGAGTGAGAGTCAACTTCTTCTTGAAAATCGGTCCCATCAGGGTCGATGATCAGTACAAACCGTCTTGAGTTTTTTGGAGGGCAATCTACTCCAAAGTGATGGCGAGAGAGCAGAGATTGTAGAAGTCCGTTTACAGGCTTACTCTATATGAATTTCTCAAATTTTTACCAAAAGGCCACCCCATTGGAGTGAAACTCGGTTAGATGCACATATAAGTTGATTTCACAGACGTGTGCTCTTCAGAATATTATCCAGAATTCAGCTTTGCTCATGTGAATACGATAAAGGGTGTATCTCGTGATTCCTTTCGAGTTGATGAGTCTCAGCTTTTTGTGAGTCTAAACATTTTTCTTTACGAATCTCGTTTAGGAACATGTTCCCTGAGAACATTATCCAGGCAACATTCCAACAGGTTCAAACTTACTATGTCCCCATTAAACCAAAGCTTCAACGTCTAAATGGAACTAACGTGACTGAAGTGATTTTCCATAAGCCACAACTTACTTACACTAATGAAATGAACGTCCTAGGTTTGTCATGTTTATCAACCCATCGTGGTTGTTTTTCTTTGATGATGTTCTGACAATTTTTTTGTGTTTTCTAGGCCTTATCGTATTCTGCAGTGGATTCGGCGTGATTCTGAGTATACTTGGCGATCAAGCTCGATTGATGATCAACTTTTTCATCGTGCTTGACGCCATTATTATGAGATGGATTTCAGCGTTGATGTGGTAAGTTTCTGNGTGACTGAAGTGATTTTCCATAAGCCACAACTTACTTACACTAATGAAATGAACGTCCTAGGTTTGTCATATTGAACCCATCGTGGTTGTTTTTCTTTAATGATGTTCTGACAATTTTTATGTGTTTTCTAGGCCTTATCGTATTCTGCAGTGGATTCGGCGTGATTCTGAGTATACTTGGTGATCAAGCTCGATTGATGATCAACTTTTTCATCGTGCTTGACGCCATTATTATGAGATGGATTTCAGCGTTGATGTGGTGAGTTTCTGTTAGAAGGGACTTACTAGTCAGAGGCTGAAGTAGGCATTTGAAACGCTCAATAATCGCCTAAGATTTCAACGTGTCTCCCTGGTTAGGGACTGTAGTTTTTGACGGAATCAAAGAATCTTGCCACATACTTATGTGTGTAAAGCAGAAGCTGTGCTGCCTTAAAAACCTATGGCTGAGAATGAGTCTCGTGATTTTCCTTTCATCTGGCTGCAACTTGAATCTTGTCGCTTACTTGGGGTAACCATTTACCTTCCCAGGCATACTTGTTCACTAGTAAAGATTAATGTCCTGGAAACGAGATTCATGATGATCCGAACTTGCTGTCAGACAGTATCGTAACCGAAGACTCTGAAGACAGTAGTCTCATATCTACAATAACAAGGAGAAAAGTTCTCACCATGCAGATTTGTGACGACTAGAAGGAATAGAAAATTGAATTGAGTTTTCAAGAAGTGCTCCACATCTGTTTTCTGGTCTCTACCTTACAAATGGAGTCGTTGTTTCACGGGTCATGAAATTTTGAGACAGTTTTGTTCCCTGAAAAATGGCTCCACTTTTCAGGTGCTACCCAATTGGAATCTTATCACTCGTGTGCAAAAACATTGTCGATATTGATAATCTTACCGAAACGGCTCAGGGTGAGTCCTTATCCACATACATTTGCTTGAACGCTTTTCGGTAAGTCTAGCTTCTATAGCACCTTATCCCAAAAGTTGAGTAGGCAACATGCGACTTCAAAGAATTTATTTGAAGATCTAAATAAAAAGCGAGAGCAAATCGAAGTGAACTGAACGAAATGAATGAAAACGAAATTCAGAGAATGTGGATTTGATATTCTTGAATATTAATGAATTAAAGTGAGTATCGGGGTATTTTTGCGGAGCAAGCCATCACCAGTCAGTAATCTGATTATTACAAAATCGAATTGAAGAAATCTAACAATTGTTGAAAATGTAGCACGTCATCTACACAAGATAGAATGTAGGCAAGATACACTTGGCACTACATACATACGTCCTTCTAGAGGTGTTCTCACTGGACATCGAAGGTCACATCAGTCCTACATGAATAGTAGGACTGATGTGACCTTCGATGTCCAGTGAGAACACTGCCTTTGCAGCGCTTGCTATGTACGTGGTGACGGTGATCTGTGGCTTAATGATTCATTCGTTACTTACACTACCACTTTTGTACTTCATGGTAACAAGGAAGAGTCCGTTTGCCTATATGACTGGCATGCTACAAGCCTTAGCAACAGCTTTTGGAACAGCCTCCAGGTGGGTTGCAAAGCGTTGATGTTTCCTAAAACTTCTTTTTTGTAATCTTGAAATGAGGAGACCATGGTTGTTTTCAATGCCGATTGAATTGATGCTTTCAGTGGTGCTACATTGCCAGTGACATTCCGAGCATTGGAAGAGAATCTAAAGATTGATCGGCGAGTAACTCGATTTGTGCTGCCCTTAGGTGCCACAATCACTATGGTACGTTTCAATGCTGACGATCGATCGATTCAATCGATTTCTCAAACTCCTTTAGCGCTTCATTTTGATCCTAGGGTACAGAAAATAACTTGTGACATGAATTCTAGATGGGCTGTTGCCCCAAAAGTTCTTAGTTGTGAATAAGTTATTATGTGAAGTATGTCTTTGTCCCAAAACGGAAACCATCACAATAATCGTTCGTGACTAAGGCCTGGGAAATTGTAGTCACATGGGAAATGAATAGCTCAGTAGGACATAATCTTGAAGAAAGGTTAGATTTTCAGAAAAAGGGCAGCTATTCAAATTTTCAATAATTTTGATTTATTCAGCATTTTCATCGCATTATTTTTTATATTACTTCAAAAAACTATCTCCTACAATATTGAATACAATCAGGAAATAAAGGGCAGAAATAATTGAGAATTCCAATATTCAATATTTTATAACTTTGCGTTACTTTTTGTAATACTTTCAAATTTTTCGACTCCGATAATACTAAATAATTTTCACTACTTTTTCGATATCGTATTTATTTTTTATGTTAGTCGAAGGGATAGAAAAGTACGGCGGAGCCCCTTTTGAATGTGCTGGTATTTTGGTAGACGGTATATGGTCCTGCCCTGCAGCTAACAGATTCCTAAGTACGGTAATGATAACATCAGGTATTTTGGGGAAGAAAACACCATCTTTAACAGGTTGTTTTCCAGTGTCAGTCAAGTAAACTCAACAACCTTAGTCGAAGTCGAGTTCGTGGCGCAGTTCTGAAACTTTTTTTAGGTGAAAGAGAATTCTTTCGTTTCTTTTATTCACTTTTTTTTTATCAATTTCAGGACGGCACAGCACTTTATGAAGCTGTGGCCGTTATATTCATTGCTCAACTTCATAACATCAAACTTACTCTTCTTGAGTTATTAACTATCAGGTGAGCATTTAGTAACCTATAAATACTACTTGTTCCTTATTTTTCTATTATTTACTATCAGAAGTGGTGTTCAGTTAGGGATAGCATGAATCCTTTTCGAGAAATGTGCTCCCCACTGAAAATGGTGGAATGGTAGAATTATCCGTTTTTTGAGGCAGTGACTCAAATGGCCGACGTTATAATCCATATTGGGTCATACGATCCACTCACTGAGACGTACTGAAATATGAGCTTCTACTAGGTTGAACGCTGTCGAAATTATCGGCTGCTTTCTTTCAGTGTAACTACCACCGTGGCTTCTATTGGATCCGGTTCAGTGCCGGCTGGTCTGGATACCATTGTCATTGTGCTGACTACAGTTGGACTTCCGGCCAAAGATCTCAGCTTGTTGCTCACTGTCGACTGGCTGCTGTTAGTTTCAGAATTTTTAAAAGATTATCTTCCGAGGAAATCCCGTTTTCCAGTCTGGCCAGTCTAGGACCAGACTTTTTTTATGAATTTCATGTGATTGTTAGATCAAATTCGTTCCAATTTTCAAGAGTGCTCCAGAAATAGCAACCTGAATCGAAAATTCCTGAGTGATGAGGTAAAATTTTACTTCCTGGGGGTAAGTTTTAAGTACTGATTCGAAAGTAAAGCAACAGCGACCACAATGTTCCCTTAGTCTCACTGTTACGGTTTATGCAGGATCCTCCTCCCTCCCTTCGAAATCAACTGTGACTTGTAAGAAAAAAAAGGAACGAAAGGCGCCGTTTTTACCCGAATCCGTTTATTGCGTCGAAAAATTGAATTCCACTTCAAATTCCAAACGTATATAAGGAGAAATAGCTTGGAGAATCAGTCGCGGAGACTGCTGTTGAAGCCGACCGTTCTACAAGAAGGTCCTGTAAGGGAACCTTCTGTTGAGGGATGTATGTATAATTTGGATAACGCCGAACGGATCCAGATCAGGAAGTGGGAAGTCATTAGCCCTTTCCACACCTAATGTCGACCCTCTAAAGCTTTATACGAAATGAGTCGAGAAGTCTAATCAAATCGTAACCAACCAGGACTTGATTCGCATCATACATGTGGCAATTTTTTTCGTCATTTCCGTCGCCCAACTTCTTGACAGCATTTATTTTTGCTCCTGAGTCTTCAGAAATGGAACATCCTTGAAAGCGAATATTTCAGCGATCGAATTCGAACTTCGGTGAACGTTCTAGGCGACGGTTTCGGTGCCGGTATCATTCATCACCTGACCCGTGATAGTCTTGTCGAAGCTGACACTGACGAGCTGATTCGACAAATCAGGGAGGACATACGTGAGGGTTCCATTTCGTTCTGACTTTTTTGTTTATAAATTACTTGTTTATTACTCACGCACATGAGAAAGTAGAGCACAGCATGTAATAAACTCAACTACAGATTGAGCTAACGTTACATATTCGAGAGTGGCTTTCGAGCCCAACATACTAAAAGGGACTCCAAATAGACTCCTTGGCCGTCGATTTATTTGACTAGTGAATTTCGCTGATTTTGAAGTAACTGTAGGACCCTAAGTCGAGCACCGTATTGTCGTATTTTACTCATCAGAATAAAGCCACCACAACATATGTATAGAAATTGAAATCATCTGATAGAAGATATGTAAAGCGACTGAAGTAGTTGTCTTTCCCGAATCACTGCTACACAAAACTATCTAACAACTACAATTTTTCTGTTAGCAGTAATTTTTGCAGTATAATAAATCAAACTCCAACTATCGTTCAGATCAGCTGAACAATCCTAATACTCTACAACTGGGCAGTACTCATCCGAGTAATCAGATTTCATTGCACAGCCAAACGGCGATTCAAATGCAGGTACGCTAGACATAGTTCTGAAGAAACTTAGCAAAAATGTAAGCATGGATTCTCTAAAAGAGGCTAACAGGCACGAACCTCCGTCAAGCCCTTGATGGATAGTTCCCATGAGTGTAGTGGGGCTAGCTAAGAGGTTGTTCCTTGAAGTACGTTACGACACATGGCCATAACTATACTGTCGAATATCGCTAGAAATCTTGGAATGTATACCGTACAGTAATCTCATTGTCAGTATGGAAGCAGTCACAGTAATCTCAGTAATGATTATGTGTGCCATATACGATATACTCTCAGATGATCGACGGTGATGGTGTCGAAAAACCGGTGCTTCCTGCAAATGACAAACGTAAAGCTTCCCGGGATCGAGCAATTTTTGCACCGGTTGTCGAAGAGGAGGAAAGCCGAACGCTGCTCAGAGGCGAATTCACGGTGTAATCGCCCTTTCTGGAATACGGTATTTTCCTGCGCTGGTATTTTCTAGTCTTTATATACGCTAAGATAAGTGATGTGAACATGCCATTGTATAAATAAACGCAATTCCGCCTCTGTTACTTTAATTATCCCCTATTCTTTGTCAGCGGATTCCGATTTCTGCTTGATTTACTTCAATCAAGTTGTTTTGTTTATATTCTGTTGTTATTCAAGTCTTCAGGCCTGATAACAAAGCAGATAGATGACGCAAATTTTCAAATTTGTTCTAATAAATTATTCACATGAAACGAGTATGTGTGATGGGGAGCGATGCTGATTCCAATACATAGACAGGAGCGGAAGCCACTGGTCTGCGGTGAAAGGATCAGATTCTCCTCAGATCCCCATCTCCTTCCTCGATCAGGTGCTTCAGAAATCGAGCGCTTAAGGCTGGAGCTGACGAGAAAGCTTGGAGGATCAAGTGCGAGAGCTTAGTGAAACTTCAGAATTTGCAAAGTTCATGGCTCATCTTTATAAAAGTCAGGCTATCATTCTACAGCCATGTGTTTCTTTTGATGAGCGTGCATTTCGCTCTGATTTACTCCACTCTTGATATACCTCTAATTTCTACTTTTAACGTTCTGAGGGGTAAGTATGCCTCCAGAATTACCGCGTTTGGCGTTGAACTCGACCTATCGACAGCGCGGTTTTCAGTCCAGTTCCTAGGTGTTGATCTCGGCGTTACTGTTCTCTCTGAATCATTTCTATCGCCAAGGAGAATGCCTATCGAGTTTGACACAGTAGAATTACACAGAGAGTAAGCTACTCGGACTCAGCATAACGTCGTCCATTGAAAGATGAATGGCTTGCAGAGTCTTTCTTCTTAAAGGGAAATGAGCTTGAAAAAAAAAGCAACCGCTACTAAGCGGTTCCTTTCTGATTTTGGCGCTCCTTGGCATTCATATGTTCTCGCCAGTAGGCTTAGGCTCACCTTCCTTTGAAGAGTTGAACCGTCCTTTTTTCGCCCGAAAACAAAAAATGTCCTTCATCCTTCTTGAAAGGTGTCGCTTCACTTGCCTGCTTGCTGGCGTACGCAGAAGACTGTCTCCGGCTTTGCCTTATCCTTGAATATGTAGCCATTTGTCTTTTGAAGCCAGTTGATCTCATTTTAAACCCTTCCTTTTTCATGGTTTTTAGTAGTTTCCTTGTTATATACCTCTGCTCTTTTAGTTGTCAACCTCGAGTAAAGACACTGACTCATGAATACTTTTTTCTGAATATTGTATCTGAATGAGTACTTTTTTTTTCGATGTAATAAGTGTAGTTAGAGCAAGTTTTTTTTACTGAAATATGGCCTTTCTAGTAGTGACAGGAGGCAGCACTCCGTGACAACTCATCTGAAGAAAAAATTGTAGGCAATTTTAATCCGTGGTTCTCGTCTGATGGTCAAACCTACATAGGAAAATCGACAGACCAGCCTTCATTCAGTGCCCCTAATACTGCATGAGCTGAGAACCCATTCAATAACCTCTAGGATTTTGCAGTGTGAACGCGTCCATGGCTGATCTTCTCAGACAAGCAACTTTTTCAACGATTAACCTTTCTAGCTGATCTGATTCATTGAAAGAGAGCCAAGAACAATCCTTTTTTGAATACTTCAAGTAATACGACTTTTAGATGTTGTATTTTAAATAAAACCACTTATTACCATCGCGATACTCAGTCAGTTTTTGATTATTATATGGCTCCTCTAGAAGTATACATTGGTAACTATGGATGATAATGCATTTAGAAAATAGAAAAAGGGTTACGGTGCTGTGATCTCCCTTGATCATCGTCTGTGACCTCATCATCGGAATCGATTTTTTAATTGGCCGCAGAACACCCTGTGGCTTTTCGAAGCTCATTGCCATTCTTATGTACAGACGTCATCTTTTTAGACTTTTTGAGTAGTCGTAATGATATTTCTTGATACTTTTTTTGTGTTTTTTTTATTGTCCCTCTGTTTGTTGGTATTAGAATGGTCCGCAGCTTAGTTAATAAATGTTGTGTCGAGTTTCGCTGAGTTCCTGTCGATTCTTTTCATTTCAGCTAGAATTTATTTACCCAGTTCCTTTACATCATCGTGAATGTTTATTTACGTTTGTTTATTTGATTATCTCCCTGATCTGAAATTTTTCATGTGGTTGGAAAAAAGTTTTTTGTAGCGTGAATTTTTGCCTAAATATTTTAGCTATATTCCTTTCTTTTAAGCATATTTCAATCAGAATTCGGAACAGTTTCTTAGTAATCGATCTTCTCCTTCCCATCTGTACATGAGAAGCTTTTGCCCTTTTGTCGTAGTAGACACAATGACTGTTCCCTGTTCCGTCTCATCCAGTTAGTCATTCCTATTTATTCATAGTGATTTCTCATAATGACACAACACTTCTTCTCTAACAACGTCCCTTCTTAAAGGGGGAATCCTCTTACTCCCATACCTTTCGATCAGAGTTCATCTTCGGTTCTTTTGGAAGAGTTTTCCTTTGACATTTCGATGTTTACAAGACTGAATCGGTGCAGCTTTTGGTCGACAATCGTGTCGTTCCTCTGTCTACTTCGTCTACTTCATTTTTTTCCCAAGATTTGAATATCTTTTTATCTATTATTTAATTGTTTATTTACTTGTTCAGTCACTAGTAAAAGAGGACTCTTGAGCTGGCTCAAACTTAGGGTTTTCTCTGAACATCAAGTTTTATAAGTTGAAGTTGAAGTTGAAGTTTAATTGCTTTGGAAGCACTATAGCCCTAGGCGAAGGAAATGTATCGGAGTTTCAGTAGCTGCTTCGAGAGCGATTTGTATGAAATTTGATTACGCTCAGAGTAATCCAAGTTTGAATCATTCTGCAGTTATTCGCGAATGGGCCATGTATTTCTTATCCATCTATAATTGCAGAAGTGTTTGTATGGTTTATACAGCAATTCGAGAAGGGTAGTCAAGTCAGATTTGTGCAGAGCCTTACACATTTATTGCTGAACAACGAAACTTTCAAGATAGGCACGGACTGACTAGAAGGGTACGTATTACCTCTATCTACGTTTTTTTTTTGCTTGCTTTTTTACATTTGTTTACTTTATTTACTCTATTCTTCCAGCAGGTTTTGAGCTTTGTATTTTGATTGATGGCCTGAACTTTTATTTTTATGAAACTTCCCAAGGCCATTGTATTTTTGCACCTGGGAAATTCAGTATGTTCTATTTGAATGGTTCCTAAAAAGTTGATATATCACTCCATTCAAGCAATTGTTTTTGTGGTCTTGAAGCGAAATAAAAAGGGCAGGTTTGCTTTCGCTTTTTTGTTGATGAAAGCATCCCAAAAGTATGGACAAGGATAATCTGGTGTTCTCACGTATTTCACTGAAATTCTTCTCAATGTGATTCTTAGTTATCGTCTGAAAGTCGTGTCCACAAATTAGATCCCTGAAGCACCTATTTTACGTTGAACTGGCGTTTGCGTTTGGAGCGTGATGATCTTAACATGAGCTGAGCTCGAGATTGACCGAACTTGAGCTCAACTCATGCTCAAAGTCTGAGCATACCGAGCAGGGTATGCTCAGACTACAAGAGACTATAGCTGCCCTTCGTAGCCCGAAATTGCCAAGTTGTGCCGCTTGAGGCAAAAGATGTTACTGGAAAAAATGTGTGATTAAGTAAGACTTCTCCTCCATTTACTTCATTAGTTTTTTTAATCTCCCCGAAAGATTTGATTTTTTCGTTTATTCCAATGATTTTGAACGTGGTGCTTATGGGGAGCTGAAGCCGAATTATGGAGAGGGATTGCTTGTCAGGTGGATAGTATGTGTTTTGAAACCAATTCGATATCGTAGAAAAGAATTCGCTGCGGAAATGGAAGACTGAAAGAAATCTACTCTGCGGAGTGTTGTGCCCTTTCGATAGTTGCCAACCCTTTATCGTCATTTTGAACGATTTTCTTTAGAACCATAGAAAATGGCAATAGAAAATCGCAATGTGTTTGAATGTTGGAAAAATAGTGGCCATTCAAAGCAATCACCTACGTGCTTTTTCCAAAGTGC